AATTATTCATTAGTGTTGAATGTCTTTAAGCTTATTTTTGTCTTTTTAAATTTTTTTTTATGTTCCATTTGGTATTTTATTGATAGTTTGTGGTGTATAGGACTGATAAAAAATAAATAGGTTTATTTATTTTTAAGCAATTATAATAGTTATATTAAGGATTTTACTTGTTGGGTTCATAACTGAACTCTAATGCTTGACTGGTTTCAACAATTGAAACTTTCTTGACGTACCATTTGGGATTTTATAATAATTCTGTAGTGTACTTGACCGATAAATAAATAAATAAAAAGGCAAAACAAATTGTGCAAATGTTACAACAACCGAATACAGAGCAATTGTCTTCCAGAGAAAAGATAAAATATTTTTGTCGTGAATGCAAGGTAACATTCAGAAGTGCACCTGCCGTTCTTAAAAAAACTAAGAACTTTAGAGAAAGTAATAGAATATATAAATGGCGAAGTGAGTAATATAATAAAAATATGTGGATATAATGAAGGCTAAAATTTTAAAAATTACTCATAAGATATTAACACTCCTTCCACTCTTATAGAAAATAATAAAAAACTGGAAGGTGAAGTTGATAATAAAAAATCGGGTGCTCCAATTAATGGTGAAATGTCTTGAAAATGGGAGACGAAGAAATCATTTGTGAAATGATAGATAGGCAACAGAGAGCATTTGATATAATTATATTCAATGATAAACGCATTGCATTCATGAATAAACAAGACAGCGCTGTTTTGTCCCTCCGTAAGTCTCGTTAGTAGTGCTAGGCTGAGCCACAAATGTGTTGCTGGACTCGACTGTTCTTGAAGTCGCCTGAGTAAGTAAGGTCAATGACATCTCCCTTTAGGAAGACGCCATCTGTGGGATCAACAGAGAACTCAATTTTATATATGTATATAGTTGAGTACCTGTCTTAAGTGTCCGATCTATGTTATACTGTGGACCGTTATTATAGTTTTATATAATTTTCATATTTTTTATCTATGACATGTCTTATATCATGTAAATGATCGAAAAGTCGAGTAAAGTTATTATTATTAATATCCCCAAATATCAAAGATATACGATATTTCCCAAGGCGATCTGTTGCGAAGCCAAGCTACGAGATTCGTCCTCTGCCTTTCACTGCAGCTTCCACTGCAATGCAACTAGTGGAAAACCAGAGTCCAAATATAACGCATTTATGAATCAACAGCAGACAGCGCTTTTTCGACCCGCCATACAGAGGGTCCCATATTAATCAACAGTTTTTAACGAATATGTATTTCATCTTTGAAGATGTAATAATGAGAATATGTTCAGATGATTAGAAACGGTTTTTTATTGTGACATATTGGTCAAAGCAGTGGATTACTCCAGCCGAATTGGCACATACCACCTCGTGTGTCTAGGGTAAATTTTGGTTCCGCATCAGTCTGGGATTTAGTGTCCTTTCCATATATTTAACCTTCCCTGACAGATGTGTCTCTTCAAATTTCAAAGTTATAATGTTCCTTCTCCCTCTAATTTGGACCACTTGTTGAATGCTACTATGGTCAGTTTGGCTGAGTTAATCAATTGGTTTTGTTTTTTTTGCATGTCAATGAGCATGAAAAATGCTACGATTTAAATGATTCACTATTTACTAATCTGGATCAACTTGTAAGGGAAGTTTCCTCATTAACAGTTGCTCAAATATAAAAGTAAACTATAAAAAAAATATTTTTTGAATGTGACTTTAAATATGAAAATATCTTTTTTTATTGCAGGTTTAAAACTATCCCAGTGAGAATGATGGGCTCTGATTTGAAGTTTATCTGATATTATTTGAAACTGTCAGTTAGAGCACGAGACCCCATCAAAAAAGTTTGTAATTATTTTGACTTTTTTTATGGAGTTTATTATACAGGTACATTACTAGTATTGTGTAGTATTGACATTACTTTGCTTGCAGAATTAGTTCTGATCTGCGGCATTTAATTTTGTTAACTGTGAAAATTGTTGAAAATTAAATTGGTACTCTTCATAAGAGTAATATGTATCATAAGATAGTGTTATTGTATTTGTTATTTTGGTTAAACTAATTTTACATAATCTACCACAAAGTTTCCTGTATAATGTTATATCTTGTAAATTATATTGAATAAATAAGTGAAAAGAAAACATTATTTATTTTTAAAACATTAAATGTTGGCAAGAAATTTCAAGTTACCCGCACCTATCTAGTTGGTACATGAATTTTTATATCTGAATATGTTTTAATATTACATGATACAAATAAATTGTAACTCATTGATTGTTTGTTTTACTCTGCTTTTTATTTTTTCACTGAAAATCCAACAAGCATAATTCTAGAGTAATCAAAATTGGGAATTATTTTCTTATTTTTTTGTCACTCTCCCAAGGCTGTTGTGTGAAAAAGTTATATTCAGTCTGAACAGTTTGAATGTATCTTTACAAATAAAATGTGATACTTCCAAAAGGAGCAAGAATTGCTATTTCTGATAGCATTTTTAAGTGAAGTAAAATTCATATTTAAGATTTATCTCATACTGCCTTTGCAATAATGTGTGGTAGTGAGTCTATATCTTATATACTAATATCTCTGAAAAAAATTTTTTTTCCCAAACTTTTTTGTGTGAGTGAAAAGCCAAAAGATATTCATACCAAAATTTTAGCCCTGTCTGTGAATTTAGCGAAATGAAAAATATCAATGTCTGAAATGGAAACTATTTCAACATGTTATTAATAGTGATTTTATCTACTGAATCCCATACGTTCATCCTGCTATCAGGGCCGTATCGAAAATAAATACCGGGGGGAGAGGGAATCCAAATTTTCCCAACCCCACCAACAAAATTTCCCAACTTTCAAAAAAATTAAAGTCAAGGGATTAGTTACTACTATAATATATTAATTTTCTTACTTAGCTATCCAAAGACTGGCTGAATGCTTATGCCCGTTAGGGTATGCACAAACAAAAATAAATTTTGGTAATTATAAAAATAATAATGGGAATTATTTTACTTTGGACCAAGTTATCGCCTTCTCGGCGACAAGTTATGCTACATTATGGTCTTTATCAAAATTTACTGAAAATGATACGTTTTTACGTAAATTTTATTCGTCTTTGATATATTATTCTTTTAAAATATTGAGAGGGGCGACTTTTTACGTCGGCATTCTATAAATTTCAGTCTTGAGAATATTTATTGTCCTTGGATAATTTGGTTTAATCTTTGAATGCAAACTCTTTGTTTCTATTGAATACTGCCATATTGATAGGTACATGTTCTCTTGAAACTAGCGTTTATATTAGCCAAAAAAAAACATGTTCACCTGAAAGGGGCAGCAGAGTATCATCCTACTTCACATACAGAAAAACCTATAATACTACAAAAGGTGACACAAGTTCTAAAAAAAACAGGAAAATATTGAGAAAAATCAAGAATCAAGTTATAAAAACGTTTTTTCTGAATAATTTTAAAGCCTTACTTGATTTCACGTCACTAGTCAGTTTAATTAATATTTCAGGACCCAGTATATTAGAGGAATCACAAGTTGCTCTACATTTTTCTCCAAAATAATGGAAACAATTTTTTTGCCCGTTTTCAAGAAATTTATTCTAGTTCAGGAAAATGTGGGCATGTACTTCGACGATAAAGAAAGGAAGTAGAGCTAGCTAGTATCTCTTATCTATATGATTTACTTTGGAACAAACCCAGTTAATAATACACAACTATTTTTATGCCTCGCAAATATCTGCAGCCGACAGACATTACCCAGAAACATATAAATCAAAATAAACGCATAGTACGGATTGAAAGAGAGTGAAAAAATCATCGCGGAAGAATTTCCTGGTGGAAACAACGAAAAAACATTTTTGGGTTTTGAAAATAGTAACCATCAAGTGAATTAAAATCAAAAAGTATGACTGGAACCTCTGGTATTGAATAAATCCTAAACAAATATATCTAACTTTCACTTTTCAACACGTCGATGATTCATTAGGCTACAAACTCGCAGGAAATTTCTCTGCCAACTTCAATAGCTCATTGAGTCTGACCAATATTTTTTGTCAGTCTTTATAGGTTATTTCTTAAATCCCCGACTTTTCATTTTCCAACATTTTGTCATTAGTTGAAGTTGAACAGTTTAAAAAACTACTCTAAAGTTCAACTTTTTAAAAATGCAATCTAATCCTTTACTGTATCTTGGTTTATATGAAAGAACAAACTTTGAATCAGTATCATCTTCAAAAGTCGAAAATTTACTCCCCAAACATTCTCGGCCCAAACTTTACATTTTCTCATTAACTTATCCACTATATTTGAATGATATCCGTTGCCATCAACTACATATCTGATAACATCTTTCTTCACAATATCAACAAAAATGTTATCAGGAACTCGGCTAAAATGGGTATCCTGCCAATATAGGAGATAAATAAATTTATGGAAAATCTTTGTAAATTTTCAATTTCTCAAAAAGACATGGAATCAAAGTTCATTGTTATTCCGTGTAAGCGAAGACACACTGAAGGATTAGATCATATTTTTTTAAAGTAGAACGTGAAAATAGCTCTCAAAACAGCTTGAACACTTCCACAAATGTTATATAACCCCAAAGACAAGATGTTGGAAAATGAAAAAAGTGGGGTTTGTATTAAACATGAGGTACGGACTGTTATAATAATATATAGGACAGACTTAACGACCTATTAATACTTGTTTCAAAGAACACACATAGATGTCTGATTTCGAAGGTTAGAAAATTATTTTGTTGCTCAACAACCCTTAGAGAAGGACCATAGAATATATTAACACTATAGAATTTGTTTTGGTTGGTTTCTGAGTTTTGCCGTAGTCTTTGGTTATAATCTCCAAACGTTTCAACTGCAACTGCGGCAGTTATTTTCAATGGCGTGGTTGAAGTACTCTTGTTAGCATGTCATATTTGATTTTTTATTGATAAAAATAACACTCAAATTCCATTAAAAAATGTAATTTCTGCAATAAAATATATAAATACAAGGTAATGTTGAATAGATATGTAAATCTGAAACTTTGTAAAATTTCTTTAAAAATAGCCTTTGTCAACTATAAGTAGGGGGAATACAACATTTCAAAAAATATATATTTCAGTTATAAACTAGATGAAAATATCCTTCTTTAGTATCTTATGTTTTATGCAACATTTTCTTTGCTGCTTTAATGAGAGGAGTGAGTGTTTTTAGTTCCATGCGGTTCTGAAGGAATTCATGGTTCAGCAAATCTTTCGCGGTACCTCGTTTGTCAACATCTACTTGAAGGCACAAATCAATAAAACTCTGTAACTTGGAAGAAAGTTCCATCCATCTTATAATCTTTGGTCTACCGTTAGCTGTTATTAAATACAAGGCACGTAAAGGGGGCTCTCGGAGATAAGGAGGCTCTCCATCAAGCATTTCCACAATCATAATCCCCAGCGACCAAATATCGACTTTCTTGCCGTATTTCTGCCGGGTTACTACTTCTGGAGCCATCCAGTATGGGGTCCCAACCATGGTTTCCCTTTGCTCATTTCCTATTACGTTTGCACAGAATCCAAAATCTGTCACTTTCACCGTGCCATCCATACCCAACAAAACATTGTCAGATTTGATGTCTCTGTGAATAGTACCCCTGTCGTGCAAGTAGTTGATGGCCTGCAATACTTCAAAACAGACAGCAGCAATCTGTCCCTCTTTCATAACAGTTTCTGTAACGACATCAGTCAATGGGCCTCCATCTAGCAACTCCATCACTACCCACAAGTGATCTTCGTAGACTACAAATGCATCCAGGAAATTGACCAAGTTTTTATGTTTGAAATTCTTCATTATTTTTATCTCGCTCAGCAAAAGATCTTTCTTGTGTTGCTTTGTCATATCGATATCTTTAATTGCCACGAGTTGTCCGTTTTTTCGGCACTCAGCAGCAAACACCATTCCAGAGGCCCCCGAACCCAAATCCTTATTGCATCTCTCATAGTAGTCATAGGGGTCGCCAGGGTTGCAAATATTTTTTATTTCAGCCATGTAGTCTTCGTCTGACAATCCTGATCGCCTTCTCAGGAAATCGTCGTCGGAAAGATCCGAGTTCGTCTCAGATTTGTTTCTTATCTCTATATCATCATTTTTATCCTTGTCAACTAATGTTAGATCTACTAAGTTTTGAGCTAAATTTTTTGTCTGGACTAGGTTGGTCCCATCAATTTTCCTTGGAGGTCTGGATGGAAATGAAGACCTGTAAATCAGTTATTGATATTATTTAAAGTTCTACTGACAAAAATGTTAGATAGAAATCTTCATTTAGATAAATATTTTGAAGTAGTAAACTAAACAGCTGTTCATATCATAACTGCTTCGAGAATTGGAAGAAACAAGTTTATTATCATCTTATTTTATTATCAGACTTCGTATATATTCCAAAAGAGGTTTAACATGGGAGCAGTACAGATATTTCTAATGAGGAGTGAAATATAAAACCCCACATTTTCAAAAATCAAGATACTAAAATGTCAATTTCAAATCAAATGTAACATCAATATAACGTTTTTCATTCACTTTTAGGATAAGTGCATCATCGTAATAAGTAAAACCTATGGTATATGTGTTCCGAATAATTTGATAGCAAGCTGTTCAATAAAGTTCAGCTAATGTTTTTGAAACCAAACAATAAGAAACTTTTAAAATTTATGAGGATGATAATTCCTCAGTAGTTCTTAATACATTGCTTTGAGCCAGACTTCTAAATAGATTTCACGAACAGCATTTTAAGATTTATTGAACAAGATACAAGATGAAACACAAAGACATTTTTTCCAAAAGTAATAAGTAATTTCATCTGAAACAAAGCTCGATTGAAAAAATAGTTTTCGAATTAATCAATCAATCAATCAAATATACTTTATTGTCTGAAGAAAATACATCTTATAGACAAAGTCTGAAAATACAAACAACAATACAAGAAGAAATATATAAATAAAGTAGAATATATAAAAATAATAAAATAATATGAATGAGAGAATAAATGATTCATTCAAAGTGACATGAGGTAAGGTTTTAAACATAGAGTTGGGAAAACTACAATTTTTTTTTGACAATTGTTAATAAATTTCCAAAATTGCTGTATGTCATTGTTAATGCTGGTGTTTTTTTTTGTTATTTATATAATTAGTGAAACATTATTTGCTCAACTTCTCACATTATCAGTTAGATAACGGTATTTTTTTTAATTTTGAAGTGATTCATATATACCCTCTTTTTTCGGACTTGGATTTATATAAAGTTCTTATGGCTGCAATAATGGTAGTATACTAAATGACTTTATTGTTGACAAAAGTCAATGTTTGGTTTACTCAATCCATAATTGAAGAGTAACAATCTTTAATGATATTGATAAAACATTGTGTTGCTATTTTATTCCCAATCAAGTAACTATAAGTTAATGACTGACATTACAAACATGACATACCCTGCATGTGTGAACCCATTAGAATGTTGGTTGGAGATAAAACTAATGTCAAATTCATTACACATGAAGTAAGATAGAATGAATGTGAGTTATCATAATCAAACATAGGTGAATCTACAAAAGGTTTACATCTTACATAACAACTCAATTTTGTCTTAATAATTGCCACTTCATTTATTGTTACACCACGAGAAAACAAATTAAATTGGAAGTAATACGAAATAACTATAACTTTGTAAATAAAATATTACACAATTTATGAATGAAATAATTGAACCTCTCGTAAACTTCAAAAGGGCCTTCAACATGTCTGTAGCTTTGTAATTGTAAGTTGAGATTTCAAGGCTGTTGCTAAATTCAAACAAAATCTGAAATTATATTAAGGAAAGTAATGATCAACTTTTCTTAAAAAGGATTTTTTTTTATTTAGTGATGAAAATTTATGGCGTGTCATTCGAAAAATTTCCAATATCAATAAATATGAATCTCAGACACCAAAGTATATTGCGACAAAACTTATTGAAGTAAATTTGATTCCAAGAAATCTTAATTTAGAATACAGAATGAATAAATTCTGGAAATTGGAATTTACTTTTCTTTCAACATTTATTCACTAGAAATATACTTTCAGATGAGGTATAACTGGAATTTACATCAGATGATTTGAATCTATACACTTTACAAACAAGTATATGTCAATGAAAGAAAAATAAGAAAAAATGTGCCAAGCATCAACATTCAACTGCTCTGCTAAAGTCCCAAAAGGTACCAACTGGACATTGACCTGAATCATGAAAAATTAATGAATGTCAGTTATGGTGTAATTAGTATATTAAATATTTTTGTTTTTTCAAAAGTGGTTATAATCAACATTGCCATTCAATCCTTTCCTACAAAATAATGCCACTACTCTGCCTATGCGTACATACACACACAAAAGAAGGTTTCGAGACTGAGTTTGATTTAAATTATAAGGAAGAAAATTATGGACAAAGCAATATATAATACTATAAGATATTTATGAGAATGTCAAAAATTATGGAACAAGGTTTGATGTCCCATTATCCAACCAGAACTGTTAACTTATTGAGGCCAACACAGTTACATCTATCAAAATCAGTGAGGTACAAGGCCAGGTAAACTCAGTCAACATGCTTTCAAATGTGCAGTAAAATACAATCTTCTTGAACCTGTTTCCTTTTTGTTGAAGACGGATAATAATTTGCTACAAATACATATGAATGTGTAGAATGGACAATAGATATGTCTGTCTATCTATTGAACAACATGATAACGTCTTAGAAATGTAAAATCTACTCATTTCAACAATCATCGATATACACATCTATTACCTTTAATGTAATGTATTGTATTACGTACCTATTGTCAGTACTTTTGTTAGAATCTTCTTTCACCCTTGGACTCTCATCAGATTTTCCTGATAAAATTGACTCCTTACTTTTAAACCATCTATATTAATGACCTTTAATCCTTTTTCATCCTAACCATCACCCTAACAAATGCATTCTATTTGCAGATGATACTATGCATTACTGACAAACTGACCCAGCACCAACACACTGACCTCCTCAGAAGACTATCCAGCATAACCATTGTCAGCTGAAGTTTCTTCATACTCAAGATACCTTACTTTTCACTTTTTTATTTGCAACTCAATTATAGAGTGACAATCTAGGGGACTTCTAGATCAGCAAATATTTTCAGTTAACAAAATAAGGTTCAAACATGGGTTATAATCTACATTGTCATTCAATCCTTTCCTACAAAATAATGCCACTACTCCTATGCCTATGCGTACATACACACACAAAAGAAGGTTTCGAGACTGAGTTTGATTTAAATTATAAGGAAGAAAATTAATGGACAAAGCAATATATAATACTATAAGATATTTATGAAAATGTCAAGAATTATGGAATACGGTTTGATGTCCCATTATCCAACCAGAACTGTTAACTTAGTGAGGACAACACAGTTACATCTATCAAAATCAGTGGGGTACAAGGCCAGGTAAACTCAGTCTACATGCTTTCAAATGTGCAGTAAAATATAATCTTCTTGAACCTGTTTCATTGTCAATGTTCTCTGGCTAGAGATTTGTCCTTCTTGTTGAAGACAGATAATAATTTGCTACAAATACATGTGAATGTATAGAATGGACAATAGATATGTCTGTCTATCTATTGAACAACATGATATGTCTTAGAAATGTAAAATCTACTCATTTCAACAATCATCGATATACACATCTATTACCTTTAACGTATTGTATTAGCCTGTATTACGTACCTATTGTCAGTACTTTTGTTAGAATCTTCTTTCACCCTTGGACTCTCATCAGATTTTCCTGATAAAATTGACTCCTTACTTTTGTGGGCATCCTTGGAATGCATATAGAGATCAATCTGTTTAGATTCTTCCACGATATCCTTCTCAGTGACAATATGCTTATATTCCTGAACATTTTCAGTTCCTTTCTTTATGGAGTAGTTATAGTATTGAAGAACTTGCTTAACTATCTGTGGATTTTCCAACTGTTCATCTTTGGTTATCTGAGTTCCTATCTGTCTCATCCAAGCAGAAGGCAGACCCGTTAATATGCCCTTTTCATTGACAGTTACATGAATATCGTGATTCACGTTGGTTGGAGTTCCGATTATAGCGATGTTATTTTCTTCCCTCGCAGGTTTTCGTTTGAAGAAAGCAGAAAAGCTCATTTTCCTGTCGACTATGGATGAAAGGAAATGGAGCTATTGAGAAATTTTTTATGAACACTGTTGTTAATAATGCCTTTTCAGTCTTGAGAGGTTTTCCATAACTACATTACTTACATAAAAAAATATTTTAACTTTTTGGAATAATATTATTAATCACCCATCCCATCCTCCTAACAAAACTCTTTCAAGGAGGATGGTTAGGCATCCTACACATCGATTCTTTGTTAAAGTTGAAATAGTCGCAATTCCTACGAAACAAGGACGTATATATATTGAGAGTATGGTAATGGTTGAATTTCTGCTATCTGTTTTTCTATAACGATTCAACGCACTGCGTGCGTATCCAGCTTAAGTATGTAATGTTGCCAGTTGCCAGTAATGGGAAAAATTTCTACCTATATGGCGCTAGTGTCTTTCACAACAAATGGTGCATCAAACGATAAACAACTGATCGCTACAACTGGACATGTTTTTTGTTTCAGTATTTACTCTGTTTTGAATTGTCAAATCATGAATTCGTGTGATAATGAGTTTTTATTCACAATAACGATAAAAATAAAAACTTTTGTTAACGTAAAGCACAACACATCACAACTATTCGTAAAGACACCTGAAGGAGCCCTAATCAGTCACAATTCTGCGAATACGTCAAGAATATAAATTTCTCAGGAATTGTCCGCTGTGGCGTCATCTGAGAATACGTTGCAAATTACTAATGATTAGAAAATAGTGTCCCAGATCTTTGTTACTGTTTTACCGTTTGATCTAGTTCTACTACTATTGATAGATGTCATATCTGGATTAGAAAATGCGGATCAAAGGTGTCAATCTAATAGTTTTGAATTCGACAATTCTGACTCGCCTTCTATGACTATAATTTCCCTAATATGCTCCTCATTTCAAATTATTGAATTAGAAAGTGAAAGTATATATTGGAAAGGGGTATATTTTTGGATTCATTTTTGGGAAAGAAAGGTTTTGGCTTTCAACTTCTCCATCTTTATACAAAAAGTTGTGATTTCACTTTTTTGATATTGATTGCTTCCTTTCTTTCTTTGGAAGATTCCCACATTCTTTTGTATGAAGATAGAGAAATAGAAAGTATATATTTTTGTTGCCACCCACTATAATTAAAATGATTAACTGATGATTATCATTTTGAAGAATAATCCACTATTTTCTCTAATTATGAAGTTTAAATAAGAGGCTTATTTGACGGTGCTTAGAATACTATTTGCAAAATGTCTGTTTTTTTCATTAAGTTTTTTCAATATTTAGTATTTAGTTGACACCACATTTGACACCAATGACAAACACACAGAATAGCCAATGCATGAAAATTACTTCACTGTACTTCAAATGAAATCTTTAGCCGGAATGGTCCATTGCTGTGAGCTATCATCAATATTTCTCAAATTCAAGTGTTGTATTTCTTTCGGACTCAAATATCTAATTGTGACCTCTCAAAACTTTTTATTTTTAAAATTCTGTCTTACTCTATTTTCGAACAAGAGAGGTCAGCATTAGAAAAATCAGAAAGAAGCATGCAGAAGCTAGCAGAAGCATCGTCTAAATGACAATGGCAGAAGCACGAAATGTTTATTTCAGCCTGACTTAAACGACGATGACCATCGACGAAATGTTTAGTTGTCGTTTCCAAACACTGATAGACTTATCGATGGTTTACGAAGCACATAATAATCCAATACACGTTACACTAGGTAAACAGTTGTTCAGTTTTTAAGTTTATACTCTACCTCTGAATTTCAGCTCTTTACTGTCATTTAAAATTTTTCTAAACAAGATATATATGTGCTGCATGCAGGTATTTCATTCATCAGAAATATGAAGTTGGTATCAGTATGTTGGTAAAATTCGAACTCGCATTAGAGAATTGAAAACTGTATAACTTTTCCCAGACATTTTTATAAATTTCAGAGGAGAACCGCTTTCTGTAAAATTTATTTCAAAGATGTCAAATTTGGCAGGTTCATAAACAGCACAATTAAAATCAATTTTCAATTGAATGTATTATTAAGTGGTATAAACACAAAATAAGTTTTAATTCTCATTTTTCATGAATGTATTATTGATAAAAAAGTATGATGCGAATTTCGGTGGTGTCACTATATGATGTTGTCACTTGTAGGGAGCTGTGCTAGCGCTATCAGATGAGCTGGGTTATTTCCGCAATAGGGTTACCTTAGCCTAGATACCCGGATATGAAGGAATCAAGGACAAAGAAGAGGCCGATGCTTTAGCCCGTGAAAGGCATCAAAGGCCATTTCAGGTTCAGAACCCTTCTGTGGGCTGGCGAAGACAAGCATAAAGCCATCTATCAATTCGTGGATGCAAGCCAAATCGCTAAATTGGTGGAACCGGCTTCCATCAGGAATAAGGCAGGCGAAAAATCACAACCACAACCGCAAGGTTGTGAGGGTAGTGGTAGGTCTACTAACGGAGCATATTGTCGGCTAATGAAGCATATTACCATTATGGGCCTGGTGGAAGAAACTCCTTGCAGGTTCTGCCAAGAAAAAGAAACCGCATTACACGTGCTCTGTGAATGCGAAGCGTTAGCAAGGCTATGGCATGGGAAATGCTGAAATGAAAAACCAGGGGCTATAAGATATATGCAGGAGCCAATATCAAGGCTTTGGAGTCTCATTGCAGAGATCAAGCTAGAGGAAGAGCTTTGATAACCAAGGGGCATCACTACAGATTTGCAAAGGTCGCTGTAAAACAGGCCGCATGCCAGCTCTCAAATCAATCATCTAATCTAGATACGACGTTAAGAGAAATTTTACTTAAAGCAAAGAAGCAAATATGTTCATTTGTTTGTCCATAATTAGATTTTTCAGTTAATGAAAATGTGATGAACCCCTATAAAATTTGGGTCTTGAATATCGGAGACAATGATGATGCGGAAAAAAAGGGTATAACTATTTTGCAGGTCTGCAGGTCAGCAAATTGTTCTCAGTAGACATTGCTCTCGTCGTAATCTTGTAGAAGGACAGACATTCTTGCAGCTTCGACCAGGCTAATATCATTTTCAACTTGGAGACCCGACCTGAAAGAATTTCCGCCGACCTGCAAAATTTATTTCCAATTTTTTAAGAATTGTGAAACTTTTGGATAGGAGTTGGAATATTTTTCTGTCGAAAATGATTAACCTGGTCGAGATTCATGTCTGGCAGACCCGATCTGCAAGAATTTTTGCCGACCTGCAAGGTTTATTTTCCATTTAATGAGGAATGTGGAATTTTTCCATGTCTGCAAAACCCAACCTGCAAGAATTTCCGCCGACCTGCAAAATGTATTTTCTATTTTTTAAGAATTGTGAAACTTTTAGGTGGGGGTTGGAAATTTTTTCTGTCGAAAATGATTAACCTGGTCGAGATTCATGTCTGGCAAACCCGACCTGCAAGAATTTCTATCCTCCTACAAGATTACGAGAGCAATGTCTACTGAGAACAATTTGCTGACTTGCAGACCTGCAAAATAGTTATACCCGAAAAAAAAAAACAATACACGATTAAAGTACAAAACCATACTAGGTCGAATGCTCGTATTTGGTAAGATTCCCGGCCTGGCAATTAGTCTGCTTCAGTTTAAAAGGGTCGTTCAGTCAAATCTAATTTCGTACATTTTTTCATTATATTTTTATAGTGATTGTCAGTATAGCAACTGATCCATTTATGAACTGTTATAAAGGGAGGCATTTATAGTGTTTGATGTTTGAATGAATATGAGTTCAGTCCAGAAAACTTTTATTAAAGCAGACACTATATAGTAATTTACCACAGGTTAGCGAATATTTTCATGAGGATAAAGACTGAGTTTTTTATAAAAATTAACGATAAAAACCTTTCCGAAGTTTGATTATTCAATTTTATTTGCAAAATATTGAAGCGAAACATTTGAGTGTATTGGTATGTCTAGGTCACAAATAAAGTTTTGTTCACCTATTCAACGAATTAAATGCATTTATTTTAGTAATAGTTCAAGATAAATGTAGGTAGTGTATTCACATTAAAATGGTCCTTGCAACAAAAACAAATTCATTTAACGAACTTCTTTCTTCAAATAGTTATTTGCATTCTTTGTTAACTTTTTCATTTTTGTTAACAGTAACAAACAATTTGTTTAGTGCATTTTGGAGTGAATAAGCACTTTCATGTACTTACGATACGTTTTTGAGACTCTAACTTCCATACTTCCACAACATAAACGAATGCAAACAACCAAAAAATAATTGAACCTTCACACAGCTTACACAGAAGCGTCTGAAACTAAACATATAGATATTAAAAAAATAGGGCCCACTATTGAACCTTGGAACACACCGCACCTAGAAGTTCCAATCCCTGAATATAGTGGTCATTTTTTACCAACTGCGGTAGCGATTCTCCAGGTAAGACCTAAACCACCGCAAATCAATAATCAAGTTTGTTCAGCAGCAGCAAATAAAACGCATATATAATTCAACAACAGACAGTTGAGTCCAGCAATGCATTTGTGGTTCATTCTAGCACAACCGATGAAACCTTTGGCGCGTCGAAACAGCGCTGCCTGGTGTTGGATCACAAATATGTCGTGTTTGGGCTCTGGTTTACCACTAGTTACTTCGCAGTGAAAGTTGCAGTGAAAGACAAAGAACGATATCGAAGCTTGGCTTTGCAACTGACCGCCTTGAGGAGCCTCGTTTATTTGATGATCGTGAATTGAGTTCTATGTCGATCCAATAGATAGCGTCATCGGTCTCACTCGAAATTTCGACTTTAAACCCGAAATTTATATTTTCTGATTGATTCGGCTGTTACTTGATGAAGATCCATAGTGATTTCATAAACTACACTTCACGATTAGATCTCCACAAACTTTATTTGAAAAATATATCACGGCATGTTTCGCCAACATAATAGCTTTATCAACAGTGATATATTCAAATTACTGTTAATAAAGCTACTGTGTTAGCGAAAAATGTCGTGATATATATTTATTTTCACGCTTTATATTAGCTTCACCTGTATGTATGCATGTATGTATGTTTGTTTGTAACTCTCAAGCTCGGGATCTGTATTTGACAGAATTATCGACATTATTGCTTGATCTATCCACAGGCAGATGGTGCTGTACGTAACCTCCTTGATATATCGACATAATTGCTTGATCTATTCGCGGGCAGATGGCGCTGTACGTAACCTCCTTGATATAATTCGAACTCACTTTACATGTATTTCTTCATTTGAAAAAAGTATTTTTTGAGACGCTTTTATTAGCTTTACCTGTATGTATGTATGTATTTATGTTTGTTTGTAACTCTCAAGCTCGGGATTTGTATTTGACAGAATCATCGACATTATTGCTCGATCTATTCGCGGACAGATGGCGCTGTACGTAACCCCCTTGATATATCGACATTATTGCTTGATCTACTCGCGGGCAGATGGCGGTGTACATAACCTCCTTGATATAATTCGAACTCACTTTACATGTATTTCTTCATTTGAAAAGAGCATATTTTTTATCAATACGCGCGCCTGCTGCATTATTGTAACCCTTCTCTGCGCGCCTGCTGCCTTAGGCCTGGCAGCTGATTTTCAGGCTCGCTCTCCGGAATCGGAAAATATCAACGGTCATTTTTCTACATAATATACGACTAATTGATCCCATAGTTTAGATAAAATAAATATAGTTTGAAAAGACTAAAAAACACGCTTTTATAACATTTGAAACTAAAAAATGGCAAATAAATATAGTTTGGAAAACTAAAAAACACGCTTTTAAAGAACATCGAAATGAAAAGTTAAGAATATTTTTTTTTAAATAAGCTTAAAACAATAACGAAC